CCCGAAGGGATGAGACCAGTGGAGTTCATAGATTGTTTTTTTATTGATTGTACTAAAATCTATGACTGGCACCATTCTTTTTGATGCTCAGATTGTCTTAAATTTAGTCAGTGAGAGAGTCTTTAAGTCCACTTCTGTGTTCTCTTTATATATCCCAGTCAGTCTTTGATCAACTCCCTTTTTTCCTAACACAAGGTGTTCCAGGTTGGACCTTCATCTGCCCCAGACTTGGAATCAATCATTTATCTAAGGAGCCTTGAGTTCTTTTACAGGAATGGTATTTAGAAACCATTTTGTGACAGGATGGCTGCTTATATAGGTTAGTTACTGTGCAACCATATGTGGTGGCCTTGTGTATGTTCAGTGTCATTTATATTAAGTCCCTTAATTCTATTTCCCTCATATTCATCAACAGAGGACAAAGAATCTAAATTTTGAGTATAAAGTAGATTATATACTTTGTACTAGGGTATCAGGTCAGAAAATTTGTAGAGGCCTAGTTCAGTTTTTGTTGACCCTCCCCTTTTCCTTAGTAGTCTCAGGAAGTGAATTGTTTCCAGGGAGATGAGGGTGGAGACAGAGGAGTAATACAGTGTGGGGGAGAAAATCTTTTCATTGTAAAACCAAAAATGGATATTTTGGTTTGTCAGTTAGAATACTATTGGTATTTTTATTCAAGATTTGCCCTTAATTAAATATTATGAACAAATCCACAAGCTAGGTGCCCATTACTGGGCACATAGTTGTAGCGGCTTCTTTAAGACAGTGTGTGAATACTTCATCCTGCTTGAACCTTCTGCCCCCAATACTGAGCAGCATGTATCTGACTCCTTTTTTAAGGTATACTAATATTTAGATATATTATTAAAGTGTTGCTATGTTTACTAAGGAGTTCTTGGGTGGCACAAATGGTTAAGCACTTGACTACTAGCTGAAAGGGGGGCATTTCAAACCAACTCAGAGGAAGACAGGCCTGGCAGTCTGCTTATGGAAGGTCACAGCTTTGAGAAAACTGTGGAGCAGTTCTACTTTGCACACACGGGGTCACTGTATGTTGGAATTGACTTGACAGTAACAACAACAACATGCTTACTAAGTTTTGTGTTAGTCACATTTTCAACTGAACTGAGTCTGGTGACGTTACATTTTTTAGAAATCAAAGCAAAAGTTAGTTACTTAAATTACCATAGTAGAAAATATCCTGGAAATTGATGATGTGGATTAAAAATATTTGTTTTATCCAACAATAGAGTTGAATTATATTGCTAGGAAAGCCAAAGCATTTCCTGTCATAGTTATCAAAACAGTCTTCTACAAAATGTGTAAAGTGCCTTACTTAAACAAGTAGCGCTGTTGACATCCAGTGGAGGATGGTGATCTAAGCCCATGTGTTAAAACGAACAGATAAACACACACTGAAATGACCAACACGCACAGTGGGGAGAGTTCAGTATCCTTGGAAACCATGGAAGGGTGCCGTAACTAAATTAAAAAGAATTTTGGCAGGAAACAGTACAAATGAGAAACATAGTGTGAGAAATACTTACTAACTTGCTGTTCCTTTTTGTGGTTAGGAAGCCCTCCTGGGGAGTAAATAAAGGCTTCTACTTGAAACAGCGAGAGCCATGAGTGGGCTGTGGGGCAGTTGGTTAGTGTTATATTTTGTACTTTGAATCAGGGATTAAAAACTGAATGGTACACTCAGAATGGTTCTTACCCAAGGGGAATATGACCATCAGGAGAGGGGTGGCTGCCCTTGATAGAAGGAGAGAAACTAACCATGAAGTACCAGGTTGAAACTTCCTGCTCCAAAGCTGCCTTCTTTGGTCTATAGCCCTGCTAAACAAACAAAAAACTCAAACCCATTGCAGTTGATTCCGACTCATGGCATGTGTTACAGGGTAGAACTGCTCCATAGAGTTTTCTTGGCTGTAATCTTTATGGGAGTAGATTGCCAGACCTTTCTTCCGTGGTGCTGCTCGGTAAGTTTGAACCACCAACCTTTAGGTTAGGGACCTGTAGCCCTGCTACCTGATTATATATTACTGAATCTATAAACTGACCAAGGATCTATGGTAGGCAGCCTGTAAGATGGCCCCCAGTGAACCCTTCCTTCTGATATTCATGTCCTTGTGTAATCCCTTGAGTACGTCTGGACCTAGTGACTTGGCCTCTACAAGTATGGCAAAAGTAATAGGATGTCACTTCTGAGATTAGGTTACAAAAGGGCTTCAACTTGCATGTTGGCCTGCCCTCTCTCACTTGCTCTGAAGGAAGCCAAGCTGTCGTTTTATGAACTTCCCTATAGAGCTCATGTGGCAAGGAACTCTGGTGTCTCCGGCACAAGCCAGAGGATCTTCTCCCAGTCTAGCTTTGAGATGACTGCGGCCCTGGCTGACACATTTACTGCAACCTTGTGAGCTGCTGAGCGAGAGGCCCCCAGCTAAACCACACCCAGATTTCTGACCCACAAAAACTGTGAGATAATAAATGTTGTCTTAAGCCGCTGAGTTTTGGAGTAATTTGTTAGACAGCCATAGAAAACTAATATAGGAAATAACATTGTAAACAATTTTGTTGTATGGTCTGAAGGATTTAAACTTGGATCTGTTTTCTGATTGAACCCAACACAATCCTCAATATTACATAAATATGGGCCTTTCTTTTTAAAGTTGCATACGCAAGAAAATAGACACACAGACTCAGTAGTCTAAAAAAAGGTGACCAGTGTGAGCAAATGATTTTCTGTTAAACAAACTTACTGCAATAAACAAGATAAGATGTTGAAATTTAAAGAACAACTAATTGGTATTCTCAAGGAGACTCATGAACGTTTGAAGAAAAAGAGAGCCTGAAGCAGTTCTTAAGAGAAATTTTTTTTTTATTGTACTTCAAGTGAAAGTTCACAATTCAAGTTAGTCTCTCATACAAAAATTTATACATACATTGTTATGTGACCCTGATTGCGCACCCTGTACTGTGACAGCACACTCCTCCTTTCCACCCAATTTCCCGTGTCCATTTAACCAGCTCCTCCTACCCATCTCACCTCCAGACAGAAGCTACCCATTTAGTCTCATGTATCTACTTGAGCTAAGAAGCACACTCTTCACGAGTATCATTTTATGTCCCGCAGTCCAGTCCAATCTTTGTCTGAAGAGTTGGCCTCGGGAATTGTTTTAGTTCTGGGTTGATAGAGTCCAGGGGCCATGCTTTCTGGGGTTCCTCCAGTCTCAGACCATTAAGTCTGGTCTTTTTGCTAGAATTTGAGTTCTTCACCCTGCTTTTCTCTTGCTCCATCAGGGACTCTCTGTCGTGTTCCCTGTCAGGGCGGTCATTGGTGGTAGCTGGGCACCATCTACTTCTTCTGGTCTCAGGCTGATGCAGTGTCTGGTTTATGTGGCCCTTTCTGTCTGGTGGGCTAATACTTTCCTTGTGACTTTGGTATTCCTCATTGTCCTTTACTCCAGGTAGTTGGGACCAATTGATGCATCTTAGATGGCCGCTCACTAGGTTTTAAAACCGCAGAAGCCACTCTCCAAAGTAGGATGTAGAACATTTTCTTAATAAAGTTTGTTATGCCATTTGACCTAGATGTCACCTGAAAGCATGGTCCCCAGACCCCTGCCACTGTCCCTCAAAGTGTTTGGTTGTATTCAGGAAACTTCTTAGCTTTGGTTTAGTCTACTTGTGCTGACTTCCCCTGTAGTGTGTACTGTCCTTCCCTTCACCTAAGATAATTCTTGTCTACTGTCTAGTTAGTGAATAACCCTCTTGCTCCCTCTCCACCCTCGTAACCATCAAAGAATGTTTTCTTCTGTGTTTAAACCTTTTCTTGAGCTCTTATAATAGTGATCTTGCACAATATTTGTCCATTTGTGACTGACTAATTTCACTCAGCATAATGCCTTCCAGATTCTTCCATGTTATAAGATGTTTCACAGATTCATCATTGTTCTTTATTGTTGCGTAGTATTCCTTTGTGTGAATATACCATAATTTGTTTATCCGTTCATCTGTTGATCGGCACCTAGGTTATTTCCATCTTTTTGCTATCATGAACAGTGCTGCAGTGAACATGGGTGTGCATGTATCTATTCATGTGAGGGCTCTTACTTCTCTAGGATATATTCCAAGGAGCTGGATTGCTAGATCCTATGGTACTTCTATTTCTAGCTTTTTAGGGAAGCACCAAATTGATTTCCGAAGTGGTTATACCATTTTATTCTCCCCAACAGTGTGCAAGTGTGCCAGTCTCTCCACAGCCTCTCCAACATTTATTATTTTGTGTTTTTTGGATTAATGCTAGCCTTGTTGGAGTGAGATCATATCTCATTGTAGTTTTGATTTGCATTTCTCTAATGGCTAGTAATCACGAACATTTCCTCATGTGTCTGTTAGCTGCCTGAATGTCTTCTTTGGCGAAGTGCCTGTTCATATCCTTTGCCCATTTTTTAATTGGGTCATTTGTCTTTTTGTTGTTGAGGTTTTGCAGTATCTTGTAGATTTTAGAGATTAGACGCTGATCGGATTTGTCGTAGCCAAAAATTTTTTCCCAGTCTGTAGGGTGTCTTTTTACTCTTTTGATGAAGTCTTTTGATGAGCGTAAGTGTTTAATTTTTAGGAGCTCCCAGTTATCTAGTCTTTCTTCTAGCGCTTGTGCATTGTTACTTACGGTTTGCATTCTGTTTATGCCATGTATTAGGGCTCCTAGCGTTGTCCCTAGTTTTTCTTTCATGATCTTTATCATTTTTGATTTTATATTTAGGTCTTTGATCCATTTTGATTTAGTTTTTGTGCATCGTATGAGGTATAGGTCTTGTTTCAGTTTTTTGCAGATGGCTATCCCGTTATGCCAGCACCGTTTGTTAAAGAGACTGTCTTTTCCCCCAATTAATGGGCTTTGGGCCTTTGTCAAATATCAGCTGCTCATGGGTGGATGACTTTATGTCTGGATTCTCAGTTCTGTTCCATTGGTCTATGTATCTGTTGTTGTACCAGTACCAGTCTGTTTTGACTACCGTGGCAGTATAATCGGTTCTAAAATCAGGTAGTGTGAGGGCTCCTACTTTGTTCTTCTTCTTGAGTAATGCTTTACTTATCTGGGGCCTCTTCCCAAGAGAAAATTTTGATTCTTTACTATTGACTCTTTGGAAGCAGGTAGCAGCAGGGCTTTAGAAATATTCCTACAATTTAGAGGAAAAAATAAGATGAAAATTATGACAAAAGTATAGGAAACATGGAGAATAGCTCCAGCATATAATAAAATTCAGAGTGAGAGGTCAGAGCAAACAGATCAAAGAAATAATAAGAAATTTTCCCGAGCTAGAAAGGGCAGATCAGGGCAGAAAAGGTATAGCTAACATTTATCGAGTAGTTATTATATACCAAGTATTTGATGTGTTTAAACTCATTTAATATTCCCTACAACCCCCATGTGGTACAAGCCCTGTTAATATTATTCTCTTACAGTTACCTAAAGTGAATACCAAGCAAAATAAATGAACTTTGCGCCTAGGAATAGCAGTTGCCACTGGGTTGATTCTGACTCATAGCAACCCTATAGGACAGAGTAGAACTGCACCATAGGATTCCAAGGCTGTAAATCTTTCTGGAAACAGACTGCCACATCTTTCTCCCATAGAAGGGCTACTTGGTTCGAGCTGCTGACCTTTTGGTTAGCAGCCGAGCTCTTAACCACTGCGCCACCAGAGCTTCTCTACCTAGGAGTAACCTAGTAGAAATTTTGCATTTTAGGACATAGAAATCAATAGTACAAGTATCCAAACAAGAAGCAGGTTGTCTTCAAAGGAAGGAGTATGAAGTTAGCATTGCATTTGTGTTCTGAAATTAAATGCTAGAACTGTGCTGTCCATTATGGTAGCCATGTGGTTATTAAGTTAATTAAAAGTAAATAAATTCAATTCCTCAGTTACACTAGCTGCATTTCAAGTACTCAGTAGATACATGTGGCTAGTGGCTACTGTATTGGACAGTGCAGAATAGAACATTTCAATTATCACAAAGTTTTAGTAATGCTGTGCTAGAAGATGGTGGAGTGACATCTAGAGAACTCTGAGGAAAATCTGTTAAAACTAAGGCTCCTGTATCAATGAAACTGTGCTTCACATAGGCAGGACAGCAAAATGGCATTTTTCAGACTTGCAGTGACTCAGAAAGTATATCTCTGAAGTACATTTCTTGGAAAAATACAACTCTCAGTATACCTAGCTAACTGAAAAGTCAGCAACTCAGAAGCGTGATAGTCAACTTCAGAGTCCTGTTTAACTCTCTCCTGTCCTGTTTCTCAAAATGACCCAAGAAATATAAACTAAGAGAGAGTGCCCTTCATAAACCAGATTTCAAACTGTCGAAACAGTGATTTCAGCCTAGACAGTTTGATTCCAGAGTTCCCTTCCTCTTTCTGACAGCTGTAAAATAAAGCCACAGAAGAAAACAACTTTTATTTTAGGAAGACTAATCCACTGAAATCACCTTTGTCAAAATCAGCCCAGCCCCAAAATGTCCATGTTGCCAAATCATACTCCTTACTTGGTCTCTGTGCATCTTTTGACACAGTTAATTACTGCCTTCTTTTAGAAACACTTCCTTTGCTTGGCTTCCAGAAAAACTTTCCTACCTCATGGATAGTTCCTTTAGTCTCCTTTCCTAGTTGTTTCATCAACCTCTAAATGTAGGAAAGCCTTATGGCTCGGTCCTCAGACCTTTTTTTCTTTATCTACACTCACTAGGAAATCACATTTAGTCAAATGACTTTAAATGCCTTCTGTTAGCTGGTGATACTCTATATCTCTTTTTTTCCTAAACTTCAATCAAATATATCTAGCTGCCATATGATACTTCTAGTTGGTATCTAGTTGCAGTCTACACCAAAGATGTCAAAATGGAATTTTTGGTTCCCTGCTTACCCCATACTTGCTCGCTCTCTAGTATGTCTCTTCTCAGCAAATGGCACTGCCATTTTCCCCATTTGGCTTGGCTCTAAAACCTTGGAATCATCTTTTGATGCCTCTGTGCACCAGCAAGTTCTGCCAGCACTCTCTTCAGAATGTGTTCTGAATTCATCCATTTCTTTGTGGCTCCGACCATCATTGCCTCTTGCTTAAGGTAATGCAGTAACTTAAGGACCATTCTTCTTTCATCCAGTTTTATACTGTATTCACATAACAGATAATCGATCACTTTAAAACATAAATTAGAACCTCTTATACCTTCTTATCATACTTACACCAAAGCTCACAAGGCCCTATACAGTCTTGCATCAGCTAAATGATTCTGTCTCCTCTACCACCACTTCTGTTACTTATTCTGCTTTATTCTTACTGACTTTCTTGCTTTTATCAAGTTTACCAAGCTTATTCACACTTAGGCTTTCTGCTTCGAATACTTTCCTTAAAAGTTTTCGTGGCTTTTTCCCTATTAAATTTTGGTTTCTCTCTTAAGTCAGCTCCTCAAAGTTTTCTCTGCCACTCTACCTGAAATGGTATCTCTCCCCTCCCTTTACTTTCTTATTGGACTTTATGTTTTTATTGGAGTTAGCATTACCTGATACATTTTATATTTATTACTTATTTGTTTATAATATGTCTTCATCACTGGGTTGTAAGATCCATGAATGAAGACAGGGATTTTTGTCTGTCTTATATACTTTTGTATCCTTAGCACCTAGAAAGAGTGTCTGACATGTAGTAGATGCTTAGTAAGATATTTGTTGAAGGAATGCCTTAAGAATGAGCAAAACAACAAAAAGTCATAAGATTTATAAAAAGTAAGACTAGTGTTAAGAATCAGTGGAATAAACTTAGTCCAAGTAAGTGGGAAAAAAAACCTTTAATATTTAATTCTCTTTCTATGTGATCGATGAAAGAAATTATATCTTTTAAAATGGAACAATATGAAAATAATTTCAAATGATGAGAAACATTACATGATTGTTTAAAAAGTTTAGTGGAGACAATGAATTCCAGTTCAAATACAATTGAAAACAAGATCAGGAAGTTATCTTTTTTTTTTTCTAAAGGAAATTATCATCTTGGCCTAACTAGCCTACCAGAACTGAGAAGGAGAGGATAAAAAAAGAAAGATGAGCAAAAAGAATTTTCTGAACTTTTTTTTTTTTTAAATAGTATATGATGCATTCCTTTTGGTTAAGAGTTCTGGCTCAATCCTTTGGATGATTTAGCCAATTGATCTTAGCTTTTTTTCTTTAACCTGAAGTTGTACCTATCATTTAGATGCTGTTAAATAATACTAATATAAGTGAGATAATCTGTTAATGATATTAAGTGCATTTAGTCAATGGGAGAACCTAGACATTATTCTTGCATTTGTCTTCTTCTCTCCACACCCTACCAATTATCATGCGTTGCTTTATATGCTTCGTAAATGTATTTTAAAACCTCTGTCTACACTTCATCGCCTCTTTTGCTTCTGTGTTCTAGTTTGTTTATCTGTTAAATTACTGGGGCATTGTGAGAAATAAGGAGCCCTGGTGGCACAGTGGTTAAGCATTTTAACCACTACTAACCAGAAGATTGGCAGTTCAACTCCACCAGCCGCTCCTTGGAAACCCTATGGGGCAGTTCTCCTGTGTCCTGTAAGGTTGCTAAGAGTGATAATTGACTAGATGGCAATGGGTTTGGTTTTGGTGAGAAATAAATCCTGACATATACTGCAAGTGCATCTTAAATGTTGGCTGTTTCTAATAATATTGTTATTGTGCTATACTGGTTCAGATCACTGTCATTGCTTACCAAGATTTTTGGAGTAACCTCCAGATTGGCTCCAGTTTTCTCTCTACCTGCCCTCCTGCCAATTCCCATTTCTGTTTACTGCAGCTTGAATAATCTGAAGTGCACATCTAATTGGATTTATTATTGTTGTTAGTTGCAGTCAAGTTTTCTCCTTCTCATGGTGACCTATGTAGATTAGAACGAAGTGTTGCCGAATTACTCCTACTTAGCATCTCCCTTTTGCCACTGGAATAAAGTATAACAATTTTTTAACTTCTTTAAAGAACTCTTTAACCTCCTTCTAAATAGTCTTCCCTTTTTTACCCTTTGGAGATGAGCTACAGGAATCCTATCAGGAAACAAAAAATTAAGTTGGGTGTGACTCTCCCAAGACATGGGCAATGAAGTGCTTTCTGGTTCTTGCAGCATGGTCATAGTAATCATAGTTGGAAATGATTTTAGGCAAATACTAATAGCCAGATATCCATTCTGATTATAAAAATATTTTAATAAGGCATGTATAGATGCACTAGCTTTGTGCAGTACTACTTGTTTGTATACACAATCTCCCCGAGAAACTATTTCTGTTGGATAAAGCAACTGAATGAGGTGAGTTGCTTTGTGGAATTATTCATTGTGAGTCAGCTAAAAGGTGTTGAGCATCTAATGAAGATGACATCTGTAGGATTAGAATAGTCAATTTAGCTCTCTAGCCTAACATTGTATATAGCATTTTTACCCAAGGCTTGTTGTCTGTTAAGATCACAGCTGTAGACTAAACGTATTAGCAACTGTTTATCTTTCTGTTCTTTGTTGCAGGAGGGTATGGTTCCATTCCATTTTATCCAAACATGATATCAGATTATCCAGGAACAAGTTAAAAAGAAGGGAGACTGGTTCCAGAACACATCTCTGGAAATTACCCTATGGACCCTGACTCTCATGGCAGGATTACAATGTAGGTTCTGTATGAGCATCAATAGCCAGTGGTCTTTGTTCAGCTTTTCACATACATGTTCCTGTTCACTGAGTCAGAGGCTGAGGAAAGGTTATTTTAAAGGCCAGTAGCACATATATTATTCCTTGCGGATTTCTCCATAAGCTGATATTTTGACCAAGGGGCACAGGAATACAGAATCCTGTTCTTGACCAGTCATGCTTCTGCCTGAGGCCTCTTGAGTGTCTATGCAAAGAGGGAGCGAAGCAAGGTATGTTTGTTAGTAGCTTGAGTTTTAGCCTAGACTCCCGTAAACTAAGATGGACCATTTGGAGAACTTTACCTAGGCTAGATTGACCTGAATAGCCTAGAAACAAATAAGGTTAAAAGTTTCTGCTTTTTGCAACAAAGCCCAAACCCCAGCAGAAGTCTGCTGCTGCTTACCAATGTGCTTACCGTGTACCCAATACAAGGCTTATGTCTTTGCATTTATTGCTCATTTAACATTCATAACAACTCTATGAGGTAGGTGTTCAAAGATGAAGAAAGCTTAAGGAAGCTATTTTCTCAGGGTTACAGACAGACAGTGGTAAAGTGGGGATTTGACAACCTGAATTTAGGCACTTTCCTACAGAAATTCCCTACATGAGAATGTGTTACAGATGTGCTAAGATAATGATTCCTCAACCCTTGGGAGTGAGTGGCTGAGTAGGCCCTTAGCTGACTATAGAGTTCCTGGGCAGACATGGGCAGCCTTACCATAACTTTGTACTAGTGTGCCATACAAATATTCTGTGTATTCCGTGGCATGAAAACGGTAGAGAAGCAAGGATCGGCTACACTAAAAGTATCAGAAGTTAGCAAGAGAGAGCATTTGCCCCAGTGCCTGCAACTGTATCCTCCCTTTAGGCTCTCAGGCTAGAGTAATAACGTTGTAGTCATTGCCAGGTGGGAAAAAAATATTTGAAGAGAGATTCACAGGAGTCTTAACACTGGTAAGGAGAGAGAGGAAGAAATGGTAGGGAGTTGCTTCCCAGGAGCAGGTGAGCAGAAGACCAAGGCTTATTTAGTTCCTGGGAAGAAGAAATTCCTAAAGGTACAGTACAAACAACTGATTCTTCAGAGTGCCACAATAAAGTGTTCTTAAATCTTGAACATACTGCTTTCGTGGGAGAAGTGTTCTGACTTTTGGGAAAAATAACAAGAACTTTGAGCTCCCTCTAGAGGAGGATCATAAAAGAGGATCATAGTGGTCTGTAGGGAAATAACTGCACATAAAGCTAGCCTGTCCTTTTAGCAAGAAACTAGCATTTTATAGCTGCCATATCCAGTAAAGTACTTTTTTATATTGGGGAGTTATTAGTTACCTTTTGAGAAAAAAAATTGGGTTAATCATATTCTAATTACTGTATGGGGGCAGTCCTAAAGTTCAGTGTTTGTCATGTAGGGCAAATAAAGATGAAAGATCATAAAAATGGATCATGGGTCCAAACAAAATAGCATGCTTCCTAATGGGAGCTGTAAGTGTTGAAACAAACTAGGTCACAGTGAGAACTGATTTGCCCCATATTACCTGCTGGAATGTTTTAACAGCAGACCCCTAAATTTAACAGATAAAAGTGATCGGTACACTTGCTATGTTCTCACCCGCCCAAAAAAGACATCTGGAAAGAAAAGAAGAACAACCAGAAGATTAAATTATGAAAACCAAGTTGCAGGCAAATGTAAGAACTTCTCAGAAAGTTAACACATGGTGTTTCTTATTTTTTAGAACCTCAGCTGATCAAATGAGAAATCTATTCCAGGACAGAAATCTTAGTCACGTTCGGATCCTCTTCGAGGATGAGAATTTGTTACGGTTCTAACCTTTAGCGTAGTTACTCTTTTTGTTCTTAATATATTTATATTTCTCTTAAGAACTTACTGAGAGAGATCAATTCTTAAATCTTAGTATGTAACTATAAAGTATAAGAGTTAGAAGTAGTGTTTAATTTTGTGATAATAATAAGAACATACGAAAATACTTAATTAAAAATGTTCCAAAAAACCAAAACTCAAGCCCATTGCTGACTCATAGTGATCCTATAGGACAAAGTAGAGCTGCCCCATAGGTTTTCCAAGGAGCGCCTGGTGGATTCGAACTGCCGACCTTTTGGTTAGCAGCTGTAGCATTTAACCACTACGCCACCAGCAGAAGTGCTCAAATAACAAGAACGGGACCATGTCAAAGGGACACAGGTGCCAACCTGAAAGAGCTCTTAGGTCAAATCTGCAGCAATTTTTATCAGCAAAATAAATTACATAGTATTATATTACAACCCAGAGTATGAAATAGATATCCATGAGTCCATATTGATATAAATAAATGGTTGAAAGAATTTGAAATAAATTACATAGGTATTCCCCCCTGAAAGAGGCGGAGCTTAATGACACCTCTCCCCCCAGTATGGGCTGTGCTGAGTAAACTTCCTTATAAAGAGTAGGAAGGGGGATGAGGGAAAGTAACTTTACAGTGGAGAAACCTGGCAAACCCTACCTTGGCTAGGAAAACGAGGTTATCATTAATGGTAAGTCATTTGATAGCACGTACCTTTGATATGGTGTGATGAAAATGGTACTTCACCTCCGTGGTCTTTGTGTCCCAAACCTATAATTATAGTGCCATATTGAGAAAAAAAATCTGACAATCGCAAATTGAGGGACAGACTGCAGAGTACCTGACCAATACTCCTCAAAACTGTTAAGTTCATCAAAAACAAGGGAAGTCTGAGAAACTGTCACAGACCAGAGGAAGCTAAGGAAGTTTTATGACTAAATGTAAAGTGGTATCCTGGATGGGGCCCAGAAACAGAAAAAAAGCATTAGGGAAATACTAGTGAAATCTGAATAAAGTGTGGAGTTAATAATGTTCCAGTGTTGATTCCTTAGTTGTGACAAATGTACCATAGTAATACCAGGCGTAAACGGTGCAAACCAGGTGAGGGGAATACAAGAACTCTGTTATCTTTGCAACTCTTCTGTAAATCTAAAGCTATTCTAAAATAAAAAGTTTATGGAAAACAAAAAGTTTCATTTCAGTAACTCTTCTCCTATGTGGCTTTTGTTCAGTAATGTTTTTAAAAAAAGGAGGGGGATCTTTTTAGTTATATGTATATATATTATCACTTGCATTTAAGTGGTTTCTGACCTTTAAAAGTGAGAAAAATCCCATCTCAAAGAAGTATAATAGTGATAGATGGCATCAGAATCTCCCGTACCTGTTTCCTGGGTTACAGCAGTAGTAGTAGTTGAACAGAAAGGATCATGCTTCATTGTCTCAGTTCCATTCTGATTTCTTCATTGATTGACTTTTAAGTTACCGAAAGAATCTGTCATTAAATCACTATTGTTGATGAATTCCAGGCTAAAAAGAAGAGATCCAGAATCCATTTTTGTCAGAGTGAGATCTCTAGTGGACGAATGACTGTAAAGTTACTTACATTTTGCAGATGTGTTGTCCCTTCGGGTCCTTATCATATTGGGAGTTTCCTGATAAAAGTATGTTACTTCCCTCCAGCCATTATTCTATTTTAGTTCCTCTCTGAGATGTATTCAGTTTATTTAAGTATCTGAATAAGATGTTACATATGCTCCGTGAAATCCTCAGGGACAGACCATCTATCCGTATTTCTTTGCAAATGAAGAAACTGAAGAATAAAGATTAATTGACTTACTCTTGGTCATATTATTAATAGCTGAGCCGAGACTACATACTCTGGTGTCACGTCCTTGCATGATGGTTAATAAAGAGATGGCTTGTCGGGAAAGAGGTAAAAAGGGAGAAGGATTTCAGAAAAAATGAGAGCAAAATGTGGAAGAAAGAATATTTGTAGAGTAAGAACATATGATGTTTGTTTTATATTCTCTAATACTTTTTAATAGGGAGCATTTTTATGCATGGTTTTTTTTTTTAAATTTTGGATTATTTAAATAGGATAACTTCTGAAACAAAGTTCTAAGAGTATGAATCCTTGTGGCTTTTGCTGTAAGTTGTAAAATAGTTTTCCAAAGGATTGTGATGATAAAACACTGCTGTCTACAATGTAGACGAGTATCACAGTCTTCCTCTAGTTCAAGAGATAGAACATGGTATCTTTTTTTTGATTGGTCTGGACATTTCCTTACATTTTAGAAGTATCCTCTTCTGTCAGTTGTCTTCCTATGTTGTATGAACTGTTTCTAAAAATACTTAAGTCTTTGCCATGTTTACAAGTATTTTTCCTACTCCTCGTTAGCTATTGTACAAACTACTTTTGTTAAATGTCTATATATTATCCTTTTGGTGTATTTCTATCTCTCCACAGATCTAATATGAATTTAATTCTTTCTTTTCTGGTGGGCCAAATACAGAAGGGCTAAAGTGTTGGAGAGAGGAAAAGTGTTATTTCAGGAAAGATAAATAGTACTCCCAAGCTAAAAAGGTGATGTGATGGTGGACATTAAGTGTGTGTGTGTGCGTGCGTGCGTGCGTAAGATGGGAGGTTTAAAGCATTAGCCTTACTGGAGAATTTGTGGATGCTATTGTACCTGAAAATAAGGTAGTATAGTTAAGGGACGTGTTCATATTATGGAAAAGATTGAAAACCAGAGAGTACTTTAAAAATGTTACATTCTTAGAGGACCTTTGAAGATTTTGGATTGGGAAAGTATTGTTTAAAGAATAGTAGATTAGTATTTTAGCATGTCTAGTATGTGATTCCAGGATCTGGATTGTGCTGTTGCTTTCTTATGGTGTAATTTACATACTGTAAAATTAACCCTTCAAGCTTTGACAAAAAGCATACAGTCATATAGCCACTATCACAATCAAAGTACAAAACAGTTGTTTTCAGCACAAAAAGTTTTTCCCCGTGCCCTTCTGTAGCTAGAGTTTGCTTTTAAACTCAACTCCTACCCTACTCATACCCCCTCAAACCATTCCGACTCATAGTCCCTAGCAACTACTAATCTGTTTTCTGCCCCTGCAGTTTTTTCCTTTTCCA